AACAACAACAACAACAACAACAACAACAACAACAACAACAACAACACACCGACATTTAACATCATTTAACTGACAGTGGCAATCACTTCCACACTCGGACTCAGAACTGGAAGTGCAACTGGAATTGGAACTGGAACTGGAAGTGGAACTCCCCCTCCCCGAAAAGAGAAATAAACTTTAAACTGACATTGGCAATCACTTCCAGACTCGGACCCAGAACTGGAAGTGGAACTGGAACTGGAACTCCATCTCCCCCCCCCCGAACAAACAAATTCGACATTCTCCTGAGATTCCAGAACTAGAACTAGAACCGGAATTGGAACTAGAAGTGGAACAGGAACTAGAACCGGAAGCGCAACTGGAACTTGAATTGGAACTAGAAGGAGAACTGCAACCGGACCACCCCATCCCGGAAAAATACCTGACACTGGTACGAAATTGGGAATTGGATCCAGACTTCGACCTGGAAGTAGAACCGGAACCGCCCCCTCAAGAACCTCCCCCCCTCCCCAGTCTCCCTTCTTGGACGATGAGGAATTGGAACTGGAACTGGAACTCCCCTCCCCCCTCCCCAGTCTCCCTCTTGGACGATGAGGAACTGGAACACTGGAACTCCCCTCCCCCTCTCTTTTCTGTTGGACGACGTGGAACTGGAACTGGAACTGGAACTGGAACTCCTCCCCCCTCCCCAGTCTCCTGTGTTGGACGACGTGGAACTGGAACTGGAACTGGAACTCCCCTCCCCCTCCCCAGTCTCCTGTGTTGGACGACGTGGAACTGGAACTGGAACTCGCCTCCCCCTCCCCAGTCTCCTGTGTTGGACGACGTGGAACCGGAACTGGAACTGGAACTGGAACTCCCCTCCCCCTCCCCAGTCTCCTGTGTTGGACGACGTGGAACTGGAACTGGAACTGGAACTCGCCTCCCCCTCCCCAGTCTCCTGTGTTGGACGACGTGGAACCGGAACTGGAACTGGAACTGGAACTGGAACTCCCCTCCCCCCCCCCAGTCTCCTGTGTTGGACGACGTGGAACTGGAACTGGAACTGGAACTCCCCTCCCCCCTCCCCAGTCTCCTGTGTTGGACGACGTGGAACTGGAACTGGAACTGGAACTCCCCTCCCCCCTCCCCAGTCTCCCTTCTTAGACGATGAGGAACTGGAACTGGAACTGGAACTCCCCTCCCCTCTCCTGTGTTGGACGACGGGGAACTGGAACTGGAACTGGAACTCCTCCCCCCTCCCCAGTCTCCCTCTTGGACGATGAGGAACTGGAACACTGGAACTCCCCTCCCCCTCTCTTTTCTGTTGGACGACGTGGAACTGGAACTGGAACTGGAACTGGAACTCCTCCCCCCTCCCCAGTCTCCTGTGTTGGACGACGTGGAACTGGAACTGGAACTGGAACTCCCCTCCCCCTCCCCAGTCTCCTGTGTTGGACGACGTGGAACTGGAACTGGAACTGGAACTCCCCTCCCCCCTCCCCAGTCTCCTGTGTTGAACGACGTGGAACTGGAACTGGAACTGTTCCACCCGCCCGGGGCACACTCTGGCATTTGTTGCATTCATGTTTTCGTGGTTCCCAATCCAAGGATGAAGATTGCAGCCTGTACTTTTCTACTGGCCAGTCCACTTCTCTTGATCTTTGGCCTTAGTGGTAAATACTATGACTGCAGTCCACCCTTGTGGCAAACGACAGCTGCAAACTTCAGTGCAGAAGGATGGTGCGCCCAGTTTGGTGTGATTGTCTTGTGGTGTGCAATGCAAGTGCTCTTTCGTTGTATTTTGGCAGGGATCATAGTGCCAAGGAGAAGCCATCTGAAAGCTGTCCTTGGGTGCAACAAGAGGATCGCCAGAGTTACTGCCTGGATTATGTGGATTTGCATTGTAACCCTGCTGTCATTGCCTTCCATATTCTTTACTTTTGCCCAGTCGATTCCAGCACAGAATACATGGGACCTGAGTGAGAACTTGTTGACGTTTTTCCAGATGACTGCCCCAGTCCAAGCTGTTCTTATTGACATGGTGCTGGCAGCCCGAATATCAAGCAAGTTTTCTAAACTGACAGGATTAAAGGCAGACCGATTGCTGATGACTTTTCGGTTGTTCTCTGCATGGCTGCTGGCTGCGCTTACAACAATAGCATTGGATGAGAACTGCTTGAGTGGCTGGAAGCTAGCCTGGAAAGTTTGCGAAGAAGGATCCAAAGAAAACAGCAAGTTTAACTGGAAGATTTATGATGAAGAACTTCTGAACACCACCCGAGATATTTGTACGTTTACTGAAACTTGGTGGTCTGATGGTCGCTGCAGCCGTGCCATCGTGGGAGGTTTGACCCCATTCCTCCTCAAGAAGCTTCTCACACGCAGCACGTTGCAACCTTTGCTTTTGTGGACTACGTGGCACTTCTCGCGATTGGAACCTGCAGGTGATCCAAGACAAGGCCGGCACCGGAGGCTGTTTGGCGTTTGGCGCAGAACAACCAGGTCATTGATACCCTTTGAGCAAATGGCGTTGTTGACCACGCTGCTGGACGCTTGGAAGAGAGAGGCCCAAGCAACCCCTTGAAACGATGTCTTGGTCAATGGGAACCTGTGTTTGCACATGCACTGACACTCCGGCTATATCGGCCAACCCGGTGGTTTTCTGCGGTCCTGCCCACACAACATGGGCCCTTGGAAAGACCATGCTCAGAATACCGTGCAAACAAGCCCAGGGTTCTCAAAACACCTCTCATGACCCTCCAGCGAGTGGTCTTTTTCATTGTTTTTTGCTCAGATTTGAGGGACTTCTCGTGGATATGGGTGTCATCTGGGTGACTTTACGCGATTCTGTTGTCCCTCAAGCACTTGAGGGTTGGGCGACGCGCGTCACGCCGGACGCATGAGTGACCTAACAGCACCATCAAGTAGCTTTGATATCTTTTTTGCATGTTTTACCTTTTGCGGGATGATCTGGGACCCGAGGATCTTGGGATTAACGCCTTCAATGATTTTTCTTGATTTTACTTTTTAGTGGTTTCGAATCAAACAACTCTATACAGCTCGAGTTGTGAGCTCTTTTGTTTTTATATACTGTTCACAATGCTTTTACGATTTTGCCAATATTTCCACAACACTATGAGCAATAAAACCATTAAAATCAACAAGATATTCAAAACATGAAGCAACCATTTGATACCAAGGGGGGAAGGCGCCCATGAACATTTTCAGTTTCAGGCCCTTTTGCTTTTAATGCTCAATTAAGATAGCACAGTGTGCAAAGACATACTTAAACATTTATCCTTACTTTGGCGCGCGAAAGGCACACTAAGGCCGCTCAAACACGTGTATATAACATATAGATATAGTACGAAAGGCACTCCACACAGATCTTCCAACGCGTCGCTCTCACTCTGGCCAACCTGGTTTTGGATGAAAAGCATTCACTGAGCTTTGCGTTGGATTGGTGTGTATCCACCACTCTCCATTCAAGCAGGAAATAGGATCCGACTTCTCCGGGTGGTGGAGCACCAGTTTCGGGTTTGAAACCGAGTGGGTACGAACGTACCTGATGAGTGCCAAACTTCTCTCGAAATCGGAACAACCCAGAACCTTGACGTAGCTGAGGAAGTGTTGATGTTTTGGTCGCCCTATGTGCCTTTGCTGAGCCTGGGCATCCTTGCTGCTGCTGTGACGAACTTCCTGATGTTTGACTTGGGCATTCGTTTTTACAAGGTGGAACTCCCGTCAGATGAAGTGAATGAGGTTGCTGCTTTGTCAGCCTCGTACTTGTACTTTGCGTTGGGAGCAGGATCTCTTTTCCAACTTTGGCATGCATTTAGCACTCGGATGTGTGGCCGATATTTTTTGCTGGCCGTTCACCTTGCGATCATGGGCCCTTGGGCAAATGTGTTTTTACCAGTTGGCTTTATCAAGCGCCGTTTTTGGACTTCAGATGACATGCGTGAAAGAGAACTGATGGAAATGACCAGTATGGACTAGCACCTTCTCCCTTCAGCGTGACCAATCACTGACAAGCGCCAAGCAATGACTGCTCTCGAATGCTTCCGGCCCGTAGCTCATTTGCATTGAACTTGGATCATTGAAGCACCACTTGCTGTAGCAAAAGACCAGGCAGACTTGGGCCTTGGGTGTGTTGGGAAGCCAGTGACACTTGGAAGTGTGCTCTTCTTGCGAAGAGGCCTTTGGGGACCCAGACTCGGCATTCACAGGAGACCCAAATTAGGAAAGCAATGCGAAAACAGACACCAACCTGGTAACTCCCCACTCCACTGCACCAAACAATTCCCACAGCAAACTCCTCATCGCATGCGAGGAGACGCCGTCAGTGCTTTTTCAGGGAGCTTTCATTCTGTTCTATCCTGATTCGCTGCCCCGTTCGCTGAAGTGATATCAGCAATGGCTTCCCATCGCTGTGGTGCTTCGATCACCGAAGCCTTTTTGCTTCCCGAAAGCCACGAAGCACAACGGGTGGAGCCACGCGAAGTCCTAGCCCCTAGCAATGCCTCTCATTTGTTTCTCAGATATGCCCGAAAGCCTCAGAAAGCGGCTATACCAGGTGGGTGGGTGGGTGGGTCTTCTCCATTTCTTTTCCGGTCAGACGCGCAGACGACTGCCAGTGGTTTGCTGGGTCAACAGAAGCAACATCTCTGTGTCGGGTTGGGTGCGATTTGGGTGTCTTTCGGTTCTCCAATTCTGCTCCAAGAGTTCGCGCGCCCAAGTGGCAGCAGTGTTGGGCGGTTTTTGGTGCGTTTTCTGATTCTTTTTTGCCTTTCCAGCCGACTACTAGGCAGATGCTGGTACGCTCTGCTGCTTGGCTGCTAGTACAGTGTTACAAGATGCCAAGCAGAAGCTGTGGGCTTCTTGGGGTTCTTTCGGATTCTTTCGTGTGAAAGGACACAGCTGGTTTTTGGAATTGTTTTGAGCTTTTCTTTCTTGCCGCTTTCCTCCTTTTCTACTGGCCCGCAGCCAGTGGCACGGACCCGCCAACGTTGCTGGTGCCTAGCTGATACGACCGTGGTTTTCGCATCGCGACCGCATAGGGGGCCACGCTAAATCTCCGGACCCAGTTGTGGACCCAGTTGACCCCAACAAGCTACCACTACCACTACCGCTGGGGCGGCGCCGGTAGCCCGGTGCCTGGCCAGAGCACTGGTTGACTCACTGTGCATCATTGGACAAGGGTCCGAGATGTGTTCAAGACTTTCTATAGCTTTGCAAACTGTCCAGGAAGGGGAGTCCTGTCAGGTCGTCATGGTTCTTCTTTCGATCCACGACTCTGTGCGCCACAGCACAAGGCACCTGACCGCAGGGCCCGCCAACACTGGAAGACCCGCGGTGCGTTTGGGCCATTTGGGCCAAAGCAACAGTGGCAACGACGCGAACGGTGCCGGACACCGCATGGTGAGGGACACCGAATTGTGGTGAGGGACAGCTTGTTCGGTGATGACTATATAAACCATGTGGGTCAGGGACTACTGACCCTCTATAACGTAACCATGTCAAACCTGAAACAATATGAACAATAACCGTTCCCACTGGAAAGGAACACACACCTGTGCCAGGCCAGAGGCTGCCCACCATGCGGCGCACCATGCGTTAAGCCACCAGCCGCCCGCTTTCTCCGCGGCCGGGTGCACGAAGGCGTTTGGAAGCGGGGCTGGAGAGAGTCAGAGGACTGAAAGAATCTCTGCCAGCACCACGGATTTCGGGTGGTGAGTTGGGAGGGAAAATACAATGTCAGGGGTGTCAATGAACCATCCCTTTCCGTGGTGCTGGTGCTGGTTCTCTACTTTGTGACCTGGGTCATCATCTCTAGCATCTCCAAGCCCTCAAGCCGATAAAGTCTGGAGCCGCTTCACACAAACAAAGGGCTGCACCCGGTTGAACAAGCTCCGGCCAACTACCGGCACTTCTTGTGGGCTATAATCTACAATCAAATTGAAACTCTAACTCTCATCTCCCAGAGAGACTCTATCTTGTCATATATATGTGCCTATCTCTTGTCTTCCCAATTTCTCATTGCTTCCAGAACTACCACTACCACTACCACTACCACTACTACCACTACCACTACCACTACCACTACCACTACCACTACCACTACGACTACTACTACTACAACTACAACTACAACTGCAACTACAACTTCTTCTTCTTCTTCTTCCACTGGGTCAACTGGATCAACTGGGTTCAACCAGATCAACTGGGACCACAGACTTACCGGCCCCCTGTGCCGGCGCACTCGGTCTTCGATTTGATGCAAGCTTTTGGAAGGAGTGGGGTTTCTATGATTTCGATGTGAGTATTTCGCTCTTGCGTTGGGCAGACCGCTCTGCGTTCATCACGTCTCCATGCGCCTCCTTCGGGATTTTCCACGTCCAGATCCGATCGCAGGCGTCCAGATCATCGTGACGTCCAACGTCCGGAGGCCGCTTGTCCGACCGCTTCCCGCGTGGAGAAGAGCGCGATCCGATCGTTTTGGGAGGCGCCCCAAGCACCGCTTCCCGCTTCGGTTCGCTTCAGAAGACCGGTCGTTCCCGGTGGGGGTCGTCCGGACCGGGCGGATCCGATGGGTGTCCGGTTGGGTGTGGGTGGTTTCGCATGGCGAAGCAGGGTGAACGGGTGAACACGCCCGGTTCGGTGGGTGGAGGTCGTGTAGAATCCCGTTGTTGAGTAGATCAGTTGCCTGAAAGATCTGAAGTAAAGTCAGCGGCTGAAGAGCCAATTTGTGGCGATGCTGTTCCCAGAACTTCCGTGACTTGACGAAACTGAACTACCCCACCTGGAAGTGAATCCATCCACTTGAATGCCAGGACCTCGTAATTAGTTCATGTTCGTCATTTTCCTGGACTCTCAGGGGTTGATGAGTCTTCCTATGCTAAAGATCATCGGAGAGTGCTAGGTGAATGACCCACATGTCGTCCGGCTGGTGCGGCTCTCAAAGAGGAGTGAGGGAACAGTTTGGTGCTCATATGGATTCAAGTCCAGAAAGATCCAAAAGCAACTACATTCTGACGGCCTCCTAAGGAGAACAAGACACTGGCTGCTTTTGTTGAGAGGAGAGTAGCCAACTTGCAGCTGAAGGTTTGGACGGATTGAAAGGAACGGAACAGCCTGGATGCCGTAGCTTTGTGCCGCAGCTATTTCACAACATCAACATGTTTGACTGCTTATAACTATCTACATATCCCCCGTGTGCGTGCATGCGACCCGCTTTTGTCCTGGATGAAGAAGGACCGACGATGGCTGAGGTCCACCAGCTTTGGCAAGACATTGGTCAGATAGGCAATCCAGCTCACGCATCCAAAGTGGTTCGGCTCGCTCTCTGCATCTCCTACATCATGATCTTCTTGACCGTTGCTCTTCTGCTGGTCCTCAGTTTCAAGTCGAAGGCCGGGAATTGACGGTTCTTTTTTTTCATGGTGGGGTGTGGTAGAGCCTGTATGCCGAACAAGTTCTGAGTTCCTTAGTGGTCAAGCAGGTTGGCCAGGACGGGTGTATGAGAAGAGCTTCAAGACAGAGACTGTTACAATGGATTTACTGTAATATTTGTACTCCTTGGTCCGTTGATAGTAAGCAACAGGAGAGAAAACCTGACAGCAACAGGCTGTGGAGATAGACCACAGCAACGAGTTTGGACCATCTCCGTTCAAGCCGGTCAGGAAAAGAAGCAACCCACCAAGTCTGACGAAGATGAGGCTTGGGGGGGGGTCTGCAACAGCTGAAGGACAGTGAGTCTCGTGCATCCATAGCATTAATCAGAAGTAGAGAGCTTCAATACACGAGAGAACGCAGCTTTTGATGCAGCCGACATAGGAATACATGCCACATTTCTTTGTTTCTGAGTCGAACGGGCAGTTCCGGGAGTCCACGCATGTCTGTGGCAGTTATTTGCTCCTGCCAGGTGGAACCAGTGAAAGATATTCATGCAAGATGGAAGGTGGTAGTCTTGGATGGCTTTCTTGCCCTTACTTGCGGCATCCCTGGTGTAGCGTTCTTCTCGCTCAGCTACTTGTTCGTGCAGTACTCGTTAAGGTCGGTGCATCGGATATTGGACCAACCGGGAATGCGCTGGTGGGAATGGTTGCAACAGCTGCTCATTGAGAGTTTATTGTGGGCAAACCTTGCCATGCGCTGTTGCCGCGATGTGCAAGTGTACCATGGACATTTGTTGGCAGTTGCAGGCGCAGTAGAGAAGAATGGAAATGCCAAGAGCGAGCTCTCAGGTGCTTTTGAGACCATGGCCTTTGACCTCTTTGGCTCAGCATGCTTTTTGACCTCCACTCTTCTTTGGCGCATCTTGCTCATCAACATGCTCGAAGTCAGAAAGGTTGTCTCGCCCCACCGAACCCGTGCATTGAATGACATGAAGGCACGAGCAAAGATGACCTGGGTGCATTTCTCAAAAATTTGCCCTGAAAGCTTTCAAAACTTGGACGCGCAACGCAAGTACGTCGCAAACATGGAGACGATCAGGTCTCCCTTGCCAGGGAATTGGAACCGGAGCTATTCTGATGTTGCCCTGGTTAGGGTGTCTTCCTTGGTCATGCTCTTCGGCATGCTAGGACTACACCTCGAGCAGCCCAAGCTAAGGCAAACAGACTGGTGTAGCATCACAGTGCTTCCGACCCTTTGGATCATTGGGGTGCCCACCTTCCAAGCGACCTTTTTCTGGCTACGAATTACTTCGGGTGTCTTGCGCCTCACAAGTGAGTTCAAAGATCACTCGAACAGGCTGCTCATACTTGCAGCGCTGACGAAGCCCCATTTACCCCAGGAGTGGAGCAAGGCCAACCTACTTGCCCTTCGCGGCATGGTGCAAGAGTGGGAAGAGAAGGGGAACGCGGTGGGCATCGCCGTCAATAAGAAAGAGCCTGTTGTGAAAGAAGACTTGGAGCTGGATCTTGCAGAGAGCATGGATGATTGGTGGTCCTTCCGTACCTCTTTGCAAACCGACTGCTTGGACAAGGCGGCCATAGTGGAATTCTGCAGCATCGTGATCGCCTTTCTGATCTTCAACTTCGCAGCGGTGGGACTGTTGAGCTGGATTGCCTATCACCAGATCCGAACCATTGGCTTCGGGATGATTCTGGCTTTGTCTCTCGCGCTCATTGTGATCATGCTACGGCTATTGGAAGCATGCGTCGCCACCAATCTGCTGTTGGAAGCTGATGCCGAACGTCTTCGCCTAGCTTCCCAAAAGTTGTTGGAGCCGAAGAATGACGAGGACAAAACCACAAAAGAGAAGGAGACGATGTCGCTTCACAACAAGGCAATGTTGCTCCACGCGATGGAGAGAAGCGCTTGTGCGCCCAACGACCGGCAACAGTTGTTTGGCATTCCCGTGACTGAAAATATGCGTAGTGGCTGGATCATCTCTCTGGCATTAGCCTTCGCCACATCTGCATGGAATGTCCTGAAAAGCTACCTTGGCCAGCTGGATGTGTATGAGGAGATCATTTTCCAAGTCCGCAAGTGGCAGCTGGCCAAGCTGCTGGGAGTCTAGGTCACAAGTTGTCTTCACACACCGACTTCAGGCCTGTAGAGGTTGAGTTCGGGCGCACTGCAAGCGGGAGCGGAGACACGAAATCAGATGTGTGACACCGCGGAAAAAAGAGCGCGACGAGACTTGGAGATTCCACTCACCTGGTCGATGGTCTGACCAAGGAAAGGCTCATAGGAATGGATCCGGACTCGGACGACGGTCGACCATTTGGCTCATAGGAATGGATCACGAATGGGACGACTGGAGCTGCCAGGACTGTTCGACCTCCTTTCGGTCGGGTTCGACACCGTCCTGGTCGACCGAGGACCTCCCACAACGCGCGGGAGACTTCCAGAAACGATGTCCCCCGTCGCTTGAAAAAGGGAAACCGTTCGAACGTCGCTGAGGTCGAGTCGGGGCCGCGGAACGAGGTTGCCCCGGTCACGGTCGGAGGCCTCGGGAGGGACAGTGGCGGGGATCTTCTGGATGATGGAGTGGAGCAGGTGAGGTTCTCCAGGACGTGAAACTGCCCCACCATTCGTTGAGCTAAGAGGAGGATTGTGCTGCCTCGCAGCCACTTCTGCGGAACTGCAGGGCACGGAGGACGGGTCAGGACGGTGGCGTCACAGATGGTCAGGAGGAATTCCATCGAGAGTGATGCCGATGCGAATCACTTGGTGCGCGCGCGCGCGCGCGCATTTTTTTTGGCACCTCGGGCACGGAATTTTTTCCTCGTGCGCACAATGAACATCAAGGATTTTACTTGGCTCACTACGGTGGGGCATGCCGCCGAAACGGATCGCCGGTCCGATCCCGAAGCCGCCTCAGGAGCCCCGTCCTTCTCCCCTTTCCACACCCGAGCTCATCCCCTTATTTGCTGGGGTGGGCCCTCGATCCTCTCCCTCAGACCATCATGGAAGCGGGCAGCAGGTCCCTCAGTTGTGGAAAAGGAGCTGCTCCACTGTCCCAGGGATTCATAGCCCACCCTTGGAAATTTGAAGAGCTTGAATCCCGAACCAAAGATTTTGGCACTACCATGCCAGGTCAACGCTCTGTTTTCTTTTTTTCCCCAAACACTTTCTTAAGATGTGTCCGCCCTTTCTGTCACTGCTGGTGTCCGCCCTTTTCCGCTGGCCATGCAGCATTTCTATTCATTTGTCTCCCATGTAATGTTTTCCCTTCTGTCTCCCACACTTCCCACCACTGCCCAGTGCGCCTGACATCGACTTCAGACCTTGGACCACATACATCTCACAGGCTATCGTGGTTATCCTCTACGACTTGCCCATCAACTCAGCCAAGCATGAGCGGAGTGGATCTCCTGCGCAGAGCAGTATACGCCTTCTGTCTCCCTTTGTGTCCGGTCTTGTCTCCCTTCTTGTTGGTCACTGTGTCCGCCTTGTCTCCCTTCTGTCTCCTTTTGTCTGGCCACTATCACCAACATGAAGAGAAACAACAAAGTAGACAAGAAGGGAGACAAGGCGGACACAAAGAAGGGAGACAAGACGGACACAGTGACCAACAAGAAGGGGGGCCTTGTCTCCCTTCGAAGGATTGCAAGGCAGAGGTGGATACAGCAGCTGAGAGAAATGTAACGGATAGCAAGCGAGAGGCGGACAGAGCAGTCCAGCGCTAATGTAAAGGATTGCAAGGCAGAGGCGGACACAGCAGCCCGGAGCTGGGAGACACTTGGAAAGGATTCTTGTTGGTCCGCCTTGTCGTCTCCCTTTGTCTTCGGTCTGCTGTGTTGCAGGCCTTTACATGTCTCCCAGCTCCGGGCTGCTGTGTCCGCCTCTCGCATGCCTTCGCATTTGTCTCGCAGCTCTGGATTGCTCTGCCCTGCAATCCTTTACATTTGTCTCCCAGCTCTGGGCTGCTGTGTCCGCCTCTGCCTTGCAATCCTAAAAATTTACATTTGTCTCCCAGCACTGACTGCTGTGTCCGCCTCTGCCTTGCAATCCTTTGTCTCCCAGCTCTGGACGTCAAAGCGCAACTTGTTTGGGGTCTACGGTGTAATTTTTTTCAGTGTCTTTCAACGACCCTTCGCAAGTCCCTCCGACCAGTCAAAGCGGTCTGTCCCGGACTGGCGGAGGTCCGTCGCGGTGTCATCACAGATGGCAGTGGGACTCCCGGTGGGCAGTGGGGGGCGGTTCGATCCTGGAAACAAACTGGATCAAAGTCAAGATCTGGTGCCTGACATCTTAAAGATGATCCGGATTGAAGAAGGCGTGCCCGGATGAGATGCGTTCAGATTCCATCATTTTCTGAAGACTTTGAAGGTTGGATGCATAGCTGGGGCTAGCTAAAAAGAACCACGTCAGATGTCAAGCAGCTTTGTCCAGTACCTTTTTCTCGGTACATGTGATAGCATTCACTTCTTTGGGAGCTCCGCCAGGCTCCAGGCACCTCTCTCCAACCCGCTTCCCATTCGTTGTTGGAGTTTTTGCAGCCTCTTCGACCTCCACAAACCCGCGCCGAAGCCGCTTCCGATCCGCAGCGGATCCCTCCGCAGCTGTTGGATCCTGCCGAGCGAGGGGTCGCCCGGTGCCGGGACCGCCGCGCCCGCGCGCGTGTGCGGATGTGGAGGATGTATGGAAGCCTCGTTGCTGCGGTGGTGATGATGGGTTGCTGCTCAGTTCAGGACATCGGTGATTTGTGCAGAAGTCTAAGTTGCCACAGGAAAAGTGAATTTGGATGGTACCAGTAGTCAGTCTTGGATTTGGACCCTTGGCGGACTGCAAGACTAATGACTAATAGTTTTCATTCACGGTGCGCGAGCGAGCGAGAGAGAGAGAGAGAGAGAGAGAGAGAGAGGGAGGGAGAGTCGAACAGTGTGGGAAAACGCCCTGCCCTTATATTGGTTTGTGGGAAAACATGTCGGTTTGTCGAAGGCCTTGCGAGGAAGACTGTGAGGGTTTTGAGGGGCGCCCAGTCCAGAAGTGTGGCGTCCAGGAGGCTCAGCTGGAGCAAGTGCTCTTGAAGCTCGGCATGGCGCTCGAGGAGGCCCAAAACGCAGCAACTCAGCCCTGCTTCTCCGCTGGCGTGCTCTGCAATGAAGATGGATACATCTCACATCTTGATCTCGGGCTGCTTGGTCACCGCCGAGCTTCCAACCTACTAGCGATGGCCTCCACCCTAATAAAGATGGCCTCCAACCTGCAATGGCCACCAACCTAGTAGGTGTGGCACCCAAGCGCTGTTTTTTCCATGTTCGCGCCACCGGGCCACCGGGCGCGCGTCATCGATCCATGTTGGGGGGATTCCGTCCGAGCGATGACCTCCGTGAATCGCAACATGAGGTTCTCCCACTTGGCGGGCGAAGTCCCCGCTGAGCTCGGCAACCTTTCACACTTGGAATACTTGGACCTGCGTTCCAACCAGCTCAGGGGCCCAATTCCGAAAGAGCTGGGCAGGCCGGGCGTTCGGCTGCGTTCTTTTCTCCATGTGCCAGAAAAGACCCGGTCAACTCACCTCACTCCTTGCGCAAGAGTGATTGAAGTTGTGAGGCTTCTGAATGTTTGCGAAGGACTTGTTTCTAGATGGGTCAACTACGGTTACTGTAAGAGTTTTGCGCGGTCCTTCGGACAGCGCTTAGCGTTTTGGTGCTCAAGGGAGCGCAAACTTTTTTCACCACCACCACCACCATCATCATCATCATCATGATCATCATGATCATCATTGTCATCATCACCACCATCATCTTTTCTTTCATACGCTCATCAGTCAATGATTGCGTGGACCCGATTAGTCCCACCTGGCGCCCCGTAGGGCCTGAAGCCTCAACAAATGAGAGTGCGGTCAAGGAGACGAGCGAGGGAGAAGCCCTTTCCTCCTTGTGTGAGTGACCGCAACACCAAATGCAAAAATGAAAACTTTCTCTAGCACGGACAGCGCTGATCCTCATAGAGGCCAATGCTGTGAAGCGGCTGGCAGGCACACCACCGGAGGGGTGTGCACAGGAAATGAAGCTCACTGCACATTTTCCGCCAAGGGGCCAGCTTCGTCCCACCGTGAATTGTGTGCCACCTGAAGGTGAAAAGCTATGTCCCGTGGCCCGCTGCCATTCATTATGCACTTCTTCACCAGCCTGGCTGAGGCTGGGATTGTCAACCAGGATGTTGGTGTCCAGTAGGTCCAATCTTTGCAGCCACTATCCAGCCAGGTAGCGTTGATGGCTGAGTCGTATAGATGTGGCGCATTTCCTCCTGATCGGACAGGATGGGAATCCTCCACATGAGGAGAGACCAGCATCTCCATGTGGTGTGCAGCTCATCCACAACAGCTCATCCACAACAGGCTGCAGTTCTCTGGAACCACCAGTGGCAGTGCTGAGAACTTGACCGGCTCGTAGACGTCATCATAGACCCACCATGTGCCATCGTCCTTGATGGCTGTGCAATGGTATCCACTGGGTCCCTCCAAGCCCAAATGGTAGAAGACGCCGAGGACAAGAAGTGGAATGTGGTCAACCTCCAGCTTGTTGTCCAGGAAGTATGGTAACCAGACTGTGGAGCAGAAGGCAAGCCCGTCTCCGGTGTGCTTAAAGTGAAGCTCACAGCTCACTACTCCGCCAAGGGTCCTGCGGCTTCCCAACAGACTGAGTGAGGCTTCATGGCGAGCTGCCTCACTTGATGAGATTCCCACAAGTCTGTAGCATCCACCAGGATGTTAATGTCAAGAAGATCCAGCCCAGGCAGCCTTTGTCATTCCAGTTGTCATGGAATTTGGGATCATGAATGGTGTTGTACACTGTCTCCTCCTGAGCCACCCATGGCAGCGATGAGAACTCCACGGTGTCCATGGCGTCGTCATAGACCCGCCAAGTGCCTCCATCTTGGATGGCAGTGCAATAGTGTCCATTGGCAGCATCAAAGCCCAGGTGGTAGGAGACGCCATGGTCCTGAGAAAAAATGTAGTCAAACTCCAGCTCTTTATCCAAAAA